GTATCACTTGCACAGACACCGGCGTCGCTGTTTGGCAGAAAGAGCAATCTAGCCTGGGTTGTCGTTAGCAACCCTAACAATTCGATCACCACTTGCAAGACCCAGATGTTTCTTCAGTCACGCTGTGGTACTGCATGATGCGACCCTATGCTTGAGAGCACACACATGCAGGTGCTGGCAACACAATCGCTTTTCGCGGTCAGCAAGCATGCTAAGACCTAAAATTCAACTGAGAAACTGGCAAACAACTCAAACATCCCTCAGCTTTATGGTGTGCAAGCACATCCAAATCTATGCAACTAGCCATAGTTGCACAGTTGGCATTTCATCAAGATTGACAGATGCACAAGCAATCACTTTGCAGTAGATTCTCAGTAGATATATAGAACGCTGTCCATCAGCGCTGTCCATCAGCCCCAGCCAGAGCTTTTTGGTATGCCTATGTGATCGTTAGGCAGTGCCATTTCAGCTGCTTATATATATATATATAAATGCAAGTGCAGCAACATCGGTCCCGCTGAATGCCATGTCCCACTCACTATGTATGGCCGTATCCAAAATGCGGGAGCAGAGTTGTCCTAAATCTATGGCGAGGGTGAGGTCACAGCTCTCAATCCATGCAGTCCCACAGGCAAGGATTGACCATGGGCCAGGCTCCATTGAGAGACAGAAGAGTGCAGACACGTAGAAGGCACGAGTTGAATTACTGGCAGCATCCAATTTCAGGACATCCACAATGAATCGAGCCTTCCTTCATTTGAAGTTTGAGAGTCGCGCCTTTCACGAAAGTGAGCTCCGAATGAGGTCTGCTGAAGTTCTCGTTTACAAGGGTAGCCTTGAGTAATGGTTTCTAGCTTCAAAGGATAATTCATATGCCACTACCCCCACCTTCCTCCCACTTTGTGTGATAGATCAATTTGGATGTTTGCTTGATTTTCAGGTGAGCAGGCCAGGTGGATCTAAATTCCTAAGCACTCGATAGCTTCTCTGTGTCCTTGGGCTTAGATTCAGTTCCTTGCTGAAATCTTTCGCCTCCCTTCTGTGTGTATGCAGAAAAGGGCGTGGTGCGCATATCACAAGCATCACCTGAAAGAGATTTGCCACCCAGGGCCGGGCCAT